TCGTATCGTTAGTCGTTATCTTGATACATTTCTAAACATGATGGCAATTTTGAATTATCATCAAAACAATAAAATAGAAATAATTATGATAAAAGGCTCATAAAATGGGTTGATTGTGAATTTTAGTTTTAATATATTTGTGCTTTTATAATTTTATTCCATTGGGGTATTGGCAAATTCATGAGTAAATGTGGTTCCTATTGGATGTTTAGTGATATAAATCCCACTACTTTATGTAACTGGTGTTCTGAAGAAGCCTGTTTTATATTTGTGTATTTTTTATGAGTAGCATTAGCTATTGGGAGGCTAAGATTTCTGCGATGGGCAGTCTCAGTTAGGGATGTCTTGATCCGATATTATAAGAGGGTATCGGCCGGATTTTTACTCAAACTCTCGTATCGGATTAAATTAGCCTGCATCTAAATTTCCGATTTTTTTTTTTTTAAGCTGATAGAGACTCTTTGGTTTGAAGTTTTTATAACTCATTGTTAAATGTAACATTGATCATTTGTACCTCTTGTTGTTGACTATTGTTCACTGCTATAGAAATACCACATGATCAGGCTTAACTAACATCCTACAGTCAAAAATCAGCAATAGTAGCCTGAATGATTCGTGCTAACATCGTATCGGAAATGGAAAAAGTGGTTGTAAGGGTGGTTAAGTTTCCCCAACTTTAACCTATAAAAAATGAAACAAAGACAGAGTAAGATTTTTCCTGAAATGCTTTGCAAAGGGGAGTCCAGAGTTGAAAAATCAATCTCTGCATCTCCGCTTGGCTCAACACTTGCCAGGCTTTTTATTGAGCAGTCAACACATTACAACAGCAGGCGTAAGTTTCAATTACGCAGTCTCTTAGACATAGCATGAACTTTTAAGATAGGGAACTTGCCTGGTTTTAGTCTAAGCTTTACACAAGGAGTCAGGATTATGACTTTTCACTTCTCTGCTTCTCAAATGAAAAACAGGAAAGCATTCTTGCAAAATATTTGACCTTCTTATGGCCTTCATACACTATTTATAATGATGAGAGTAACATATAGAACATATAAATGATTAAAAGCAATATAAAACATATAAATGAATAAAATGATAAAAACAACAAAAATCATAATAACTCCAACAGTGGTATTAGGACCCCCCCAACAGCTATGCTGTATAATTACCAAAGAACAACTTCAAAGAATTAATGAAGAGTGTTTTTATCGTTATCAGGATCATCACAAAATATGATGCGATTTTTAAAGCCATATCGCCTAGCCTTAATCAGCTTTAGATGCAGAGTTCCTCTGCAGACTGGAAATTTCTAGAATTATGTGTTTATCCGGCTGTAGATCGGTCTGAACAAATAAAAAGACAGACTAGAGTTGAAAAATATTAGTTTTTGAACTTTGTCTCCATTCTCTAAAACCCATCCATTGATCCATCGCTGAGAACTTTACAGATTACTGGCATAAATAGTTAAAATAAGAGATACAAACAACTCAATTTGAGTGTGGAAAAGAAGAAGGCGTTAAAATGATAAAATAAAATTGTCATTCTCTTGGTTATTAGGTGGATTCTTATGGGAAATGCCTGAACAACAGACCCCTCCCAGAACACCTGGAGGACACAGCCACTGCTACCGGCGAGGAGCCGGGATTCATGAACTTCGTGGCTCGCTACAAGTTCCACCTGGCACTGGAGAATGGCGTGTGTCCAGATTACATGACAGAGAAGCTCTGGCGGCCCCTCCATCAGGGCTGCGTTCCTGTCTATCGAGGCTCCCCGGTGGTGGCTGACTGGATGCCCAACGACCACTCAGTCATAATTATAGATAACTTTCCCTCACCCAAAGCCCTCGCAGACTTTCTCAAGCATCTGGATGAGAACGATGATGAATATGTTAGATATTTAGAGTTCAAGGACCCCAGAAGGATTACCAATGCTCGCCTGCTGGAGGGCTTGGAGACGCGTGAATGGGGAGTTAACGACATGAGCAAGCCTAACTACCTAAATGGATTTGAATGTTATGTTTGTGAGCAGGAGAATGCCCGATTGGCTGCAGAAAGAGCCTACAGGAAAGCTCAGAAGAGGAACCAAGCACCTCAGCCTAAAATGGCCAGTAACTCCCACATGGGCTGCCCACTGCCCAGCCCGGGGTACGGAGACATCAAAGACTTGCCTCCAGACGACGGGTGAGTAGGAGCCAATTTATTCATCCTGCCAGGTGTGAACACCACCTTCTCTCTCAACCCTAATGTAAATAGGAATGTCCTGAGGGGAGAAAAATCTCTTCGTTTTATTGTCTAATTAAAGTAGCCTTTTGAAAAGTGTCTAATCTGTTTGCCTATCTGTCTGCAGATGGTTGCAAATATGGCCTCAGGATTACTGGCAGAGCCTCGATCAGGCTGAGGGGCTGGAGTCCCTGATAAGACACAACGAGTCGGACCCCTCTCTGCTGTGGAAGCACATCCAGAACATTGCTGTGAGCAGAGCCAGAGGAAAACACTGACACAGGCTCTAAAGCAAACAGAGCATGGAGTCCGTCCAGGACTACAGGGCGGCGCTTGTTATGCGTCCCCTCTGTTTAAACCAGGGGTCGACTCACAGTTTCACACTGAGCCTCAACAGCTTCCCTTGTGTGGATTATAGTGTCTTCAAAAATCTTCAAACCTCTTAAGCTTGTTCAAACTACAACCAAATCCCTTTATTTATACGATCAGGATTTCATGTGATAGAGCAGCAAAAAAAGTGACATGGTTGAAAAGATATTTATAACAGTGCAAAAAATTGAAATCTTAATAAGTTATTTTTTCTTAAAATAAGTGAATTTTTTTCTTGAATTGAGGAGGTAAGTGAGGCATTTTGCCAATGGAACAAGACAATTTACATTTAAAATAAGAAAAATAATTGCAGTCTCTTATTTCAAGTGCATATTTTCCAATTATCTTATTTTAAGAGTAAACATACTAATTCCATTGGCAGATCATCTTATTTACTGACTGAAATTAAGGGTAAATACACTTAATTTAAGAAACTTTTACTTATTTCTAGATCGTTTTTGCAGTGAAATAGATGTCTGAGAAAGTGTTACAGCATCTATGCATATACAGTCCCCTAACATGAATACTCCTTAGAACAATCATTCTCTTTCATTGCAGCTTAAAGCCATTTGAGGCACATTTAGAAACTTTTTTTTCCTTTGCAAAGTAGCTTAGGTTCCAGCAGCCTGGCCAGTCACTCTGATTTATACGTCTGGTAATCAGTTTGGCCCATAATGCAACAGCGCTTCCCTGCAACCATAACAGTCAAGTATGCAGCTGCAACAGAGCAATGGTTTAATGATGCCCTTTTTATGTCCCGAAAGTGATGCTTATGTTATTCAAATGTCAAAAACTGGCTTCTGTAGGAGCTTTTCTTAAAAAAAAAAAATGTTTTTGCATCATATGCATATTTATCTGATTGGTTCTAACCAGTTTCCAGAATAATAGGCTTTCTATATGTTGTAAATTCGTCTCCTGGGCTTCAGATTGTTGATCTGATTTAGCTCTGGTCTTTCATTACATCATTTTAACGCATTGCTGACTTACCAGTTTCAGCATTCCTCTAAGTTTTAGATGTTTCTCAAATTCAGCTCACTGACATTTAAGCCTTTTTGTGTTTTGATATATAGAGGAAATAATTCAGCCATTTCGTTGAGCAGAAGCACATCTTAAACGCGAAGGACGACAGCCGTATCGAACAGACTTTCAACCAGACTTGCTGTTCGTTTACCTTCACCCATCTTCTCATTATCTGTGACATATTCACTGTCACTGCTTAAAAAAAAAGCCCCACAGCTGCCACCATCACCATGAAATGCCATGTTCAGGATAAGGACCAATACCTCACATGTAGATAGAATAAAATCATCTTGGTCCAATCTTCCCACATCTCCTCCCTCTACATGTTTTCTGTATCCGGCTGTATCCTTTTTAAGGCTTTCCTAATAATAAATCCACTTTTCTATAAAGGCCAGATATGTGGAGCATATGGGCAATAGGATTTCCCCCTCAGATTTGGATCTCTGCAGTTCCTCCAGGCTACCACGACGCTTCTAGCTTGATGCTCTCCTTTCCTTTGGCTTTATAAGTTAAATGGCTTCTCAAGGCAGTTTGTTGCAGTGGATTTTATTTAAGGGGTTTTGGAAAAGGGAACTAAATTAATTTGCATGCAACACTTTTCGGAATTGTAAAAAGTTTGAAAACCACAGTCTTTAGGTCTGACTTTACAGCCACTCTATCACATGCAATCCCAGGGCAACACCATAAAGGTTATGGTTGTAATGTGACAAAATATGAAAAAGTTCAAGGGTTAAAAATACTTTCCCATCTGAATCTGGTGCATTTATACCACATGATTCTCTATCCAACGTGACACTTTGGAGGAGGATGTCTCAGAAGCTTAGATATGGACATTTTCATGTGATAGCCAGAGTGGAGGGGACATAACCATATTTTCTCTGCATTAAGCATTAAATGTGCAGTTGTTACAGGGGCAGATGCTCTTGGAAAGCTGCTTTTTTTCAGCTCTGGAGCTGAGCCAAAAGGACTTGTCCTGTGCACCCAAGGAGATCTGCCTAACTGTGTGTGAAGACCATCAAGGCAGCAGCCAGTGGTCTGCTTATGCTTTTTTTAAAGTTAATCTGCAGGTGGCCAATGGCTGGTAGCCAGAGTCACAATTATGCAAACAGCTACTTGAAGTGACTGTACAAGGAAGGTGCTTTTATTTTTTGTGCATAGGAGTTTGGGGAATGTAAAGCACAGCTTCCCAGCAGGAAATCTCTGCACTAGTGATGGTTCGTGAAAACAAAACAATTCAGAATTTTTGTGATAAATACTTTACATTATTGCTCAGACCCTCATATGTTGCATCACACTAAACTCTTCCTTGTGCAATAATTCTGATTCTAAACCGACTGCTGTGTGTTTTCGAGCGCACTCTGTTTTTATTTCTTATATATAACATTTGTACCAGGATTTTGTAAAGCATTTTATTTTGCTAGCAATTTATTGTACATATCAACTATTTTGTATGAAGAAAAGTCAAATAAATGAATGTTTTTTAACAGTGCATCTTCTGTTGTTGAATTAGTATTCAAGCACATGACAACCTGAGTCCAAACATTAAAAAAGAAACGCATAAAAAACACATCCTTCATTATAAACTGACACACAAACACGTTTCTCCCCCTAAATAATGGATTGTTTCTAATGTTTAATGACTTACAGATGTGTTATTATGAAATATATTCGTGCAAACTTGAGATGATTCCCAACTTATGAATATTAACATGAAGAAAGGGGTGCGAGGATAAGGAAGTGATGAAAAGCTCGAAGGATTAAACGACGGCGGCGTAGCAGCTCTCGCAGTGGACCTTCCTGTTGTGCAGGAACATGTTGGCAAGAAGGTCTCCCATGGGTCTACTACACACACCACACTGCAAGAGAAGAATATCATCTTAGGCAGTGTTGCAAGGAAAATCCTCTTACCGTTTAATAAAACCTTGACGGCGCAAACACATGCTGGAGCCTTAAAAACTCCTTAAAGGCTTATCATGTTTTTGCATTCAGCATCAAAAATTTAAACAAATTTTATTACAAGGAAGATATTTGTAAAATAACACAATAAAGACACTCTTTTTGTGCTAGTACTCTAATTTGTAGTTAAATTAATTCACTGCAGAATAGTCTCACTGATATTTGTTGACGTTTTGCAGCAAACAGAGAGGGGGACATTTGACCATTTCTCTTTCCATCTAGATCAGGGGTCACCAACGCGGTGCCCTCAAGGACCACATGGAGGGCCCTCAGAGTCTTCTAAATAAAAAACAACCCACCTGTGTGCTAAGTTTGAAATTGTATTTTATTCTGTTGCTCTTCTTTTTAATAATTTATAGAGATTTCCAAATGACAATGTCTAAATAAACTTGGAAATTAACAGAAAGAATAAAAAATATGTTGATAATGAACAAAGTTTAAGCTAACACTAACCCTTGCAGCTCATGGGTCAGTAATGGTCGCCCTTCCTACGTCTCGGTACCCTTGAACTGGCCCTCAGCCTTAAAAAGGTTGGTTACCCCTGATCTAGATGGTCCAAAGTCCAGGAACTTAACAGGTTTCCTACAGGATTTAGTGATGAATCTGGTATGGTCGTGGAAGAAGATTCTTTTGTGAACCATTTCTGAGTGGGTTTGGCTCTGTTCATGATACCATGCCCTCTAACAAGGTTACCCCTGCCTTTAGCAGTGAAAAAAGAGGCCCGCAGCATGACAAATCCTTTACCATACCTTACAGGAGGCCAGAGAAGCTTTCAAAGATTATTATAATTTCGTTTTTTGCATTAATGAAATAATGCACTCATTTCAAATAGTTTAACAACTATAACTTAACTGTATAGTAAGCCTTTATAACCCAAAGGAAAGATCATTCAATGTTTATAAATCAGCTTAGAAATATAAAGTTACATGTAATTGCTAGAGGCCCTAAATAAATGGACTCAAACTGAAGGTTTGTTTTTTCTAAAAATTGCAGAAGGCAAACTGTGCTAATGTAAAAAAGCTGAATATTACAAGGCTTTAACACATATTTACCATTAGTGTCAACAGGTCTAGGGAGCGCTATAAATAACCGATACATGGGCACCATTTACCTTGAAGCACTCAGGGTGGCAGTTTATACTTAGGTGCTCGATGGTGATCTTGGCCTCGTTGCCCACCTTATTTCCGCAGTACGTGCAGTTGGACGACAGCGAGACCCTGAAGATAAACAACAGGGATGGGAACAATTTAGGCTGATCTCCTGAAATACGAGTAAATAATCCTTTGATGTTCCCACTAATGAGCTGAATGCAAGGTTGGCTCGCGGGGATTTCTGTCCCACTGTTCGCACACCGGTTGTGTCAGGAGTGGAAGAATAAATAGGTGAGAGGAGACGGAACTTCGGCTTACAGCTGGTTTTAAACTGGAATTTGTGTTGGTGCATGGATTAGGTGATAAGGGTGACTGAGAGGTTGATGTCTAACTACACGACGCTCTGTTGGAACAAGATCAGCGAGAGTGAGCTTACGTAAAGGAAAGTAAACACACTCAAAGCTGAGAGCAAGCAGCTCAAAGCACTTAAATAGTGAGATTTAGCCCTGTCAGCGGCATATTGAGGCGCAGAAGGGGAAGAATGGCAGTGAAAGGGTGAAATAAATACTTTTTATATTAGATTAAAATAAATAAGTAAAACTCCAAGTAAGTAACGCAGTGGAAAACACAATCTCTGCATTAAATGCTGTAAAGTCTCTACATGTGAGCATGTTCTGTTTGTTTTTAAATACATACCATGGAGAGAAATATGTACTGAAGAGGACTAGGGCCGCTGAAAAAAAAAATTACCTGATCTTTAAATTTTATTTCAGTTTAGTATGGGGGAAAAAGTCAGAATTCTGACTTTTTAGTCAGAATAATCTAAGAATTCTGACCTTTTTTTCATTGTCAGAATACAGTCAGAATTCTGAGGAAAAAAGTCAGAATTTTGAGATTAAAGTCAGAATTCTAAGAAAAATGTCAGAATTCTGAGGTTAAAGACAGAATTTTGAGATTAAAGTCAGAATTTTGAGATTAAAGTCAGAATTCTGAGATTTTTTTTTCCTACTTGCTTTGATTCTGTTTTATTTTCCTGTATTTTAAAACACTTTGCATTGTCTTTGTACTGAATTGTGCTATACAAATAAATTTGCCTTGCCTTGCCTTAAAGTCAGAATTCTGAGATTAAAGCCAGAATTTTGAGATTAAAGTCATAATTCTGAGAAAAAAGTCAGAATTCTGAGATTAATGTCATAATTCTGAGAAAAAAAAGCCAGAATTCTGAGATTAAAGCCAGAATTTTGAGATTAAAGTCAGAATTCTGAGATTAAAGTCAGAATTCTAAGAAAAAAGTCAGAATTCTGAGAAAAAAGTCAGAATTCTGAGATTAAATTCAGAATTCTGAGATTTTTTTTCCTACTTGCTTTGATTCTGTTTTATTTTCCTGTATTTTAATCATGTAAAGCACTTTGCATTGTCTTTGTACTGAATTGTGCTATACAAATAAATTTGCCTTGCCTTGCCTTAAAGTCAGAATTCTGAGATTAAAGTCAGAATTCTGAGAAAAAAGCCAGAATTTTGAGATTAAAGTCAGAATTCTGAGAAAAAAAGCCAGAATTCTGAGATTAAAGCCAGAATTTTGAGATTAAAGTCAGAATTTTGAGATTAAAGTCAGAATTCTGAGAAAAAGTCAGAATTCTGAGATTAAATTCAGAATTCTGAGATTTTTTTTCCTACTTGCTTTGATTCTGTTTTATTTTCCTGTATTTTAATCATGTAAAGCACTTTGCATTGTCTTTGTACTGAATTGTGCTATACAAATAAATTTGCCTTGCCTTGCCATGAAGTCATAATTCTGAGAAAAAAAAGCCAGAATTCTGAGATTAAAGTCATAATTCTGAGAAAAAAAGCCAGAATTCTGAGATTAAAGCCAGAATTTTTAGATTAAAGTCAGAATTCTGAGATTAAAGTCAGAATTCTAAGAAAAAAGTCAGAATTCTGAGAAAAAAGTCAGAATTCTGAGATTAAATTCAGAATTCTGATATTTTTTTTCCTACTTGCTTTGATTCTGTTTTATTTTCCTGTATTTTAATCATGTAAAGCACTTTGCATTGTCTTTGTACTGAATTGTGCTATACAAATAAATTTGCCTTGCCTTGCCTTAAAGTCAGAATTCTGAGATTAAAGTCAGAATTCTGAGAAAAAAAGCCAGAATTTTGAGATTAAAGCCAGAATTTTGAGATTAAAGTCAGAATTTTGAGATTAAAGTCAGAATTCTGAGATTCTTTTTCCTACTTGCTTTGATTCTGTTTTATTTTCCTGTATTTTAATCATGTAAAACACTTTGCATTGTCTTTGTACTGAATTGTGCTATACAAATAAATTTGCCTTGCCTTGCCTTAAAGTCATATTTCTGAGAAAAAAGTCAGAATTCTGAGATTAAATTCAGAATTCTGAGATTAAAGTCAGAATTCTGAGAAAAAAAGTCATAATTCTGAGATTAAAGTCAGAATTTTGAGATTAAAGTCATAATTCTGAGATTAAAGTCATAATTCTGAGATTAAAGTCAGAATTTTGAGATTAAAGTCAGAATTCAGAGATTAAAGTCAGAATTCTGAAATTAAAGTCAGAATTCTGAGATTAAAGTCAGAATTCTGAGAAAAAAGTCAAAATTCTGAGATTAAAGTCAGAATTTTGAGATTAAAGTCATAATTATGAGATTAAAGTCAGAAATTTGAGATTAAATTCAGAATTTTGAGATTAAAGTCAGAATTCTGAGATTAAAGTCATAATTCTGAGATTAAAGTCAGAATTCTGAGATTAAAGTCAGAATTCTGAGATTAAAGTCAGAATTCAGACTTTTTTCCCATACTAAACAGAAATAAAATGTAAAAATCAGTTAACTTTTTTTTTTCCCAGTGGCCCTAATCCTCTTCAGTAAATATGTGCTTGTATTAGTTACAACCAAAACAAATAAAGGTGCCAGTAGAACACACCTAACTTTCTTCTCTCAGATGTTGGACAAATCAAACAGTGTGGCCTCATTGTACCTTTCTGCAGATACTCTCCATTTGAACAATGAGATCCTTCTGATTCTATTTAAACTCACTGCAACATTAGCTTTATGTTAGAGGAGCACATTTCAGCAAAATCCTGCTGTGGCAGCTGAAGCTCTTTCCTTAAATGTCACATTAAAGGTGGAGAAGGTTTCGAAACAAAGGTTTCTATTTGATGTTATAAACCTGGAGTTTTAACAGGGGTTCATACCCTTTTAAATCCCCTTTATTCTTATTCAGTCTGAGTCGTTGAAATAGTTTTTGTGAGGGGTGTATTACCTAGAGCTGCTGGAAAGACTGTATCTTGATGAATAATCATCTGACCAACTGGGGGAAAAAAAGCAAAAATTACCATCAATATTTTCACAGAAGTGCTTCAATAAGCATTTAGTCAAACAATAATTAATCTTACCTGTTGAGGGTGTCCATGGGATTTAGCACAGACGTCTCGCTGGTGGAATCGACATATTCCCGCACATACACAAAAGGCCTAAAAGAAATGCAGGAAACAAAAACAAAAACTTAAAATTGGTAGAAATCCTCATTTAGAAGGAGGTTTCTCTGTTTGTACAGATGCTAACTTTTTGGTATCCGTTTCGGGTGTTGGAACCCGTCGTTCCTCCTCTGCTGCAGCCGTGGAGTACCTCGCTGACCTGCAGATGGAGAGCAGCAGCCTAATTGTCATCTTTTACTTTAAAATGACAGGAGTGTGAAGGGCCATGGGACCTGTCACAGGAAGAATTGCTTCATTTTTTTACCACTTCTTGTTAAGGGCAGCCTTTCAGTGTGGTCGAAAGTGTAAGAATGATGACTCTAATACATGTCATCAATCTGACATGTGGAGGCCCAATAATTAGAGGAAGGGAGCCAAATGAGGGCAAACTGAAAGACAATGGGAGTGCTGATCTCTGGTTGTTGAATGTCAGATAGATGGATCTGTTAAAGCTGAGTTTGCAGGCGACTCTAACGCCTGAGTGGAAAGTTTAGCAGCTGTTTTCCCACAGGGTTCAGGGCTAAATCTGGTTAGCTAAAACACTGGAGTCACATAAAGGGATCAAATCGGTTCAGGCAGACAAGAATAAAAAAAAAAAATATTCAGAATCCTTTAACCTTTTACCAGTTTGCCAGATTATAACACAAATAAATGTTGAAATAGATTGATGAAAAAATAAATTTTCTTCACACCTAAAAATCTGAAATGTGTGGAATGCATTTTCATTCATTCTCCAAGCTGATACTTTGATACGTCTTGGTTCTTTTCAAAACATATCTGAAGCTTAGTCAGATTGGATTAAGACTTTCTGAGAACAAAAATTTGTAAAATGTGCTTCTAATTTGTCAGATCTTAAATAAAGGTGCATGTTTAGGGTTAATTCACTGTTGGTGGGAGATTCTCCAGGCCGATATCAAACCATTTGCCACCTCTAACTGTTTTTCTTCTCGCCCCAACCATCTTCACACATCATGATGTTTCATCCAAGGTTTTGTGCAGTTTTATGTTCTTTTAGATGCAAATTGAATTTGCAAAAAAATTACATGTTTAAAGCATGGAATATCGTTTAATTTAACAAACATTATTTCTGGCCGGTCAGCTGTGTGTCCACAGATGTTCTCTATAAAAAGCAATAAAAGGGGAGAGGTGAGTCTATACTTAGATTGAATAATAAAAATGATGTACTCTGATTATAAGATGATTCATGGGATTCAATTAATATCAAAACAAGCGTAAAGATATCCTGCTGAATGCACACCCACTCGTGTCAGATTTTTCTTTTTTCAATAAAACACTTTCAAGTTTGTGGTTTTAATAATGTAGGACAAAATACAAACAAATTCAAGGGTTGTGAAAACGTTTGCAGCAAAATCTGGATCTTTGATTTGATTTTCTTGTCCTAAATACATTACATTACTTATTACAGCACTTACTGCAAGTCATAAAACTGAGGAAGAGCAGATTAGGACTGCATGCAGAAGCACATGCTAAGAATTTAGATAGGAATAAAAGATAAAAAGCTCCAGCTAAGATGAGTTAAGGATAAACATCCGGTGAAAGCATCCTTGCATTATGAAGTCTGACACTAACAAGATCACAAACTTACTGATCCATAGCGGGCTCCGGCTCATTTTGTATCTCCCTGGAAAGTGAGTAGAAAAAAAACAACATATCAAACTTTTATTATCAGCCACAGCTGTCAATAAGCTTGGACGCAATCCAGCAAGGAGGAATTCTGCAGTTTTTATAAGGCGATGATGAAGCGTCTCTCTCTCTCTCTCTAACTCCACCCAGGCCAGGCCTCGGGTTTATTGAGCAGGTCTGCTCTGTTTCTCCTCCTGTGGTGCAGTATTGCCTCAGCATCTTTCATCCACTTCATTTTTATTGCAATCATCATGTATAAAGTCCCCCTTTTTAGGCCCAATGGTTTCACCTCTTAAAGCATGACAGATATAAGGTATTTTTCCAAACCTGACAGTGGTAACGGTGATTGTCTGAGGTTCCTCAGGGCTGCAAAACAGGAGAAATGTGAAAATTTGAGATTAGAAATATTTGAGATTTTGTCATGGTTTTGGTTATGTTGTGCTTTACTTTGCTCGTTGTTTTCTAGTTTTATTGGTTTAATTCCTATTTTGTTGTAATTTCTAGATTTATGTTAGTTCTCATGTTTTTCTGTTGTCCTCTGTTGCCCTCTTGTGTGTGTGTGTTCCTTTCCCCTTGGCTCCCTCGTTGTCTCCTCTCACACCTGCTCCTTGTCAGCTCGTTAGCCCTCCCTTTGTCTCTGTCAGCTATTTCTGCTCTCCCTCTGCTCTCACTCTTTGTTGGTTCCTCTGTTGTTGCTGGTCCTGTCTTTGCTGTAGTCGTCTCCCCTCGTCTCCTTCTACGTGTTTTCCCTTGAAGTCTCCATGCTTCTGGTCTGTTACATTTTTAGTTGGATTTCTGGACTGCCTTTGTTAACCATTTTCATTAAAACTACATGTATTCACCTCTGCCTCTGCATTTGGGTCCTCCAAACCACAACCAACCTTGACAGATTTTCATTTTCTATTTCAACTGATTTCAGTTCTGTTCTTCAGCAAATGATTTGCACACATTGAACTTTAGGATACAACTTTAAAAAAAGGGTAAAATGGTAAATGGCCTGTACTTAAATAGCACTTTTTCAGGTCAGAGACTTAAACAAAGCGCTTTACATTACATTCAGTTATTCATCAATTCACGCACACATTCACACACTGATGGTGCCTTGGGGCTCACTGATAGAAGCAAGGCTGCCGTACACCAGCGGCACCAGTCCCTCTGACCACCATCAGTAGGAAATGTGGGTAAATTGTCTTGCCGAAGAAAACAACACTGAAGCTGGGGCTTGAACTGACATCCCTACAGTTTCATGGTAAACTCCTTTATATGATGCAGCTGTCGCTTGATTGTGTATTTCATTATCTCATTCTTCATAAACAATACCTGTCTTCCTCCTCCTCCTCATCCTCCTCTCCTGTCGAGACGGTATAAACAGTGGGCGATGTCCATCTATCCCATGGTGAGTCATTCTCAGAGGATCTAGATCACAAACAGGGATGGGACAATAACATGAGTGGATTCATATTGTATGTTTGTTAAAAAAGCAGAGCAGGGTTACTGAAGCCTGGACCTGTTTGGCACAGCTGTGAGGGGAAGGTAATAACAAATACCTGACCTATTTTCATCAGCACCGGTGCACAATAACTTCCAGCTCAGAGAGTAAATGCTGTAAAAGCATAGCTCCTCCACCGCAGTGAAATGAAACGAGGTTACTGGGATAAAAGGAGCCAATGTGCACCTGGAGCTCATAGTAAAGCAACAGCTTACTTCTTTTCAAACATGATCAGTGTCTCTTGATTTTCTGCCTGGTCCTCTTTCTCCGGTTCTTGACTGAGGGAGAAACAGACATACATTGAAAGGATTTTAGCTGGTAATGAAGACAGGTCAGAGGAGAGAATGAATGGGGACTAGTGGAGCATGCTACATCCAAACAAAACTTGTCCTCACCTTTCCTCTGTGTTAGTCTGCTGAAGGATTTCCCATTCGGTCATCCAGGACCGCTGAGAACTGCAGAGAGAGACAAACTTTAGATTTATGTTTCTCAGCCTGTGTTGACTGCTTTTAGTGGTACTCAGAGGAACATTTGGTATTCAAAATGTGCAAGATAAATACAAAGACAAACTGAGATGCAGAGATGAAAAAACACCAACAGCCAAAATAACATGTATTTCAGTTGCATTGATATCTGCTCCTTTAGAAAGGTCCAAAAACAGCTAAAAATATAGAAAATGGCTGGTGTAAACCCAGCTACCTTACATGAACATCTAGAGTCAGGAACTAAACATGGGAATGATACTAAAGCAGCCTTAAAGGGAAAGTTCGAGGTTTTTGCTGTTCTGTTTTACAAATCTAAGCTCTTATTGTACCTGCAGCATATATCTCTTTGGATTTTCTATCTAAAATCCAGATTAATTGGTCCAGTCGGATGATATTACGTTAATCCCTGAGGCAGTAGGTTGTTTAAAAAGCAGCCATTGATTATTTGAACACGAGATGGAGATAGAAAGCAGAAATCTTTTTGTGTTTTAAAAAGGTACTAAGAACAACAACAACAAAAATCATCAAGGATTTTTGGTCAAAATATGCAAAAACTTAACAAACTTAATACCTTTTCTTTTTACACTATTTTACCTGTACTTTATATTTGGTATTCTGAAGAAGAGCTTTACTTTTTGTGATTCTCAGCAGATGTTTTTCACACAGGAAGCCTATTAGTGTTACACTTCCTCCAACCTCTATTTCCCATTTCTATTAATGGTGATAACCATAGAGTTATCTACTGCAGGTAAAATATCATCTTCTCATAATTCAATCATTATGTGGATTTTTGGTTGTGTGTTCACTTGGGATTTTCAGATACACTTTGATTTGTGTCATTCTCAGTTTTCTAATCAGTTTCATTTGCATTTAGTGTTATTTAAGTTATTTTCTAGCTGTATTCAAGCCATGTTTTATTCCTTGGTTACTCTCCTTAGCTCCCTTCTAGCTACTTTTGTCCATATCTGCTCCCAGTTAGTTGATTACTCCATTCATTGTTCTGTTTTCCATATATACTCCTCCTCTTCAGCTACTCTTTGCTGGGTTCTCTGTTTTTCCCTTGGGTCCCTGATTTATCATTTCTGGATTTATGCTTCTGTTACCACCACCTTTATCTATAAATTTGCAAGAAACCATCTCTGACTCCGTCCCTGCATTTGGGTCCTCCACTCAAACCTCCACTCCTCTGCTGACACATGGCTAGATTAGCTGCAGAAGTTAATTATTTTTTTTTTTCTGTAAAAGATTTTTACTTTCAAACTACATATAGCTTTATTTGTACTATATGGGGTTGTATTTTTGTGAAAAATATAATAACATACAGACATTTAAAAAAGGAAAATTAAGTGTTTTTAACATTTAAAGCAGCCTTAATTCTGATATGTTCTGATGAAAAAATGCAACATGTAATATGTTCATAACCCTTAATAGTGCTGCGACAAGTGAACATATTTTTGTTCCGGGCTTCAAAAATCTACCTTTGGTGGTGGGCGTTGTTTTAAAATATTTGAAAACCTCTATTTCCTTCATCTAAACTCCTTTTCATTTCCTCTATTATTTGGCCATAAATATATTATATGGTTATGTGCAGTATCATAACTGTTGGCATCAGAATTGTTACTGTTCATGCAATAAAAAATAATCACAAAAAGCAGCTAAAAGAGAAAGCAAACCTTTCAGACTACAATAAAACATGGATCTTTGGGGATTTTCTCTTTTATGTAATCATTTATTACAGAGCTGCAGGTGAAGCTTAAAATTTTAATAGGTAAAAAAGACAGTTTTCCTTGTGTTAATCCTATTATCTGGCAACCAAACTGCACCTTGCCTCTCGCACAATGAATGAAAGGCGAAACCATCCAAAAATAGCTGCGTGAAAGAACAGGTGTGAATGAATTCTTAATTTAATGAATAAAGCCAACTATCAGACTATGCAACAGCTAGAGCTCACATCAGATGTTTCAGATGTTAACTATGTCTGTCTGCTAGTGTAACAGATAATTAAGACCTAAACACAATGAAACAAAAGCAATAAATAATGATTATTTACATGTTAGCTGTAGGTGAAGTCATTTCTGGATTTGTGCTTTTCGTCTCCTCCTCTGGTGTTGCAGAGCTGAAAGATGAAATTTAAAATAATAAATAACAGCTACTAGTAGAGCATATTGACAGTTGAAACTGCGCTACATCTCCAGAGTGATTGCTGCCAGTTATGAATAAAGATAATTACATCAGGAGCAGCAGGTTTAGCAATAAAGACATTGTGTAGCAACATGATGGTGTCACAGCAACAAACAGAGGTTTGGGAGGGATTTGGAGAATCTTTTCCCTCACCTGTTGATGGAAACATCAGCGATGGGCTCAAGCAGGTCAGAGGGGCTGAATGGGAGGGAAAGTGGCTCATAATCAGACACCGCTGCATTATGCATGCCAAGATGCTATCTGGCTGGCTGGAAGACAGTCGCAGCGCCAAACCAATATGATTACCTGTTATGGGATGCGGTCCCCATCGGATATGGATCAAACGGATCAGCCGAGCTGAAAAACAATTTCACACTGATTTCACTCTCAATTGTCAGCACGGCCCTGTCTTGTGTCTGAGGAATTCTGATCACATTGGCTCATGATGGAAAGATTCAATGCAGTTTGAATGGTAAACAGAAACGGAGAGAGGGCAGAAGGCTGGGAGTCGTTCAGAATCCGAATCTGGATGTCTTTAGCAGATGGAAATACAGTAAGATGTATACTACACACTTTGGTTCAGTGAGAAATTACGTTATTTTTTTTTTACCAAAGTTGTCTGTTTTTTGTCTGGCACAAATATTAATTCACAAATTTGGGAATTCAATCATTTGATGCCAACAAACTTCCATGTATTGTAGTCGGATTACATGTGGCACCCCAGTGAAAAGTTGTACATAAAGGTAGTGAAGTGGGAGTTGTGGGATTAATGTGTTTGATTTTTTTCATCAAATAAAACAAAAAAGTTCTAAAATGAGGCTTACACTTGTATTCAGCTCCTCCTGATTCAATACTTAGAAAATCTTGACAAGTTTTCTTAAGTAGCTCGATTTCAGTCAGATTGGATTTCAAATAATTGAAAATTAGTTTTTAAGTCTTGGCAAAAAAAAATAAATAAAAATCCCAAATGGCTTAAGTCTTAGGTTCTATTTAGACCAGCAGTCTGCAAGCTTTATGATCACAAGAACCGTTCTTTCCTTCAGTCCAACTGAGTAAAAGTTATTCAGAGTTTTTTTCTTAAGAGTATATTAAGATTGTACAACTTTGGATAAATATATCCTCAAGCTATGCACAAATTTTTCATTAATCACAATTTTTGGCAACAAAATAGGATTCATTTCTTCTATCGGAGGCTGATGTTTGTGGAAAATAATAGTTTCTAACAGTTTGATAAGAAAAACAGACAAAAAAAAAAAAACATTACCAATAGAGTTCATTATCTGGCAACAATTCAGAGAAAAGTTTAAACATTTTGCTAAAGCCCGCAGTATTTCTTATTGTATCTATTATCAAAATAATGCAAATTGTCGTTTGTCATTAAGAGCCACTGCACAAAGTCCAAACAGCCACAGGTTGCTTCTTCTACTTGTTTTTATTCTGCTTTTATTTTCCTTCCTTTTTATTAATTCACGTAAATCATAATTGCATGGTTGGATTTTTAACCGAAATGCGCTATTTAAATAAACCTGCCTTGCTTTGAAAACTAGTTGCAGCACAGCTGGGAGGTGATACTCCTGGTTCCAGGTTTAATGCGCATCCTCTAGTGTTTTTTTTTTCTTCTTTATTTAGAGCTGCCCAGTGTTTAGCACCATCCATCTTCCAATCAGCTCTGGGATGTCCTGTCAGCAGCTCCCTCAGAGTTACCATGGCACTCACAACTTTATTTAAACTGAGGCTGAATTACACACAGGTGGACCCTGTTTATTTATGAAGTGGCATCTTTAGACAGGTGGCTGCCCTAGATTTTGTTTAGGGGAACACACTTTTGCGAGTTTTACATCTATATTCTTCACAGTTATACTCTACCTTGTGTTGGTTTGGGACATAACAGCCTAATGAAAATAAGGAAAAGAAAGAGGGGGTAATACCTTGATTCTGGGACTGTAGTTGTAACATCTGGGCTTGATGTATCACCATGGTCCTCTTGGCTGGATGTTAGGAGGACATTAATGTAAGAATATGAAAGAATGGCATGGTGGGAATCAAGAAAAAAAAGGAAAACACAGGGCAAGCAAAGGTTAGTGTTGCTGTTCTCATTCAACATTTTCATCGCTAGTCCATTAGGAAAGCCTGAAATCCACTGAACTATTTAACGAGCATGCAGACTGTCTGAATATGCGATTTGGCTTCTTTTCATGTGCGCTCTTTGTCAGGAGTAATCACAGCTTTGGTCGTTACAGAGTTATGACTGTGGGACCACAGACAGAGCCGGCATAAATCATTATGTTGCATATCGTACTTCTCAGAAGGAACAGCTCTGCACCGATAGATAATTGTTTAAGAGCAGCCTGTCATCTCCCGCTACCTTTGTGTTTCCACGGCTGTCTCATCCGTCTGCTCCTCCTCCTGCTGCGGCATGCTGAGGCTGGTGGAGAGACAAAAAGAAAGCAGAAATACTAATCAGTACAGAGCACTCTCTTCTATTTCTGTACACACATGCAGATAAAAAAGAAAAAAGAGGCTTTTAAAGTTTCAAAGTCATTTCATTCAGGAATATGAGCCTTTTGGTGCTGACACAGAGCAGTAGATCAAACTCTGCGTTTGTGATAAAATTAATCTCATAAATCAGGGTTGCTTGTCTTCTTTATCTATGGTAATAAAAAAGAAACTCCTGACAGAAGAAGAGGGTAAGATTGAGAGTGTGAGGCTTTTCTCACCTCCGTGCCTCTGTGTGCACCATAATGACATCATCTGCCATAAGATCCAGGGTTTCAGATGTCTTCACAGGACTGGACTCACTATAGGCAGACATTACGCAGAAAGTCAAAGGGAGAGAAGACTTTGGGAACTTCATCTGGGGTAAGTTAAGGTGATGCTTTGCTTGCTTCTAACAAAGGAGCTATAGATTTATCACTGAAGGGAGACTAATTCTTCAAATGAGTGTGGATTAGAACTTCTGAGGGGATAAAGGCCCTTTTTTGTACCTGCCAAGTCCGCCAAGCAGATCCAGACTCCAGCGTCCCGGGCTGGATGGAACAGGCTCTGCTGGTTCTTCAGGGCTGCAGAAGCAGAAAGCAAGAAGTTGATGAACCAAGAGGGAATTTTAAAGCTCATATAAGCTGCTTGACAGAAAAGTGACTTTATGGGTGGTGCAACAGTGCCTCCTTGTGGCTAACATTCAAAGACTCTTCCTAATTGCACAATCAGACAAAAAAAGTGTTTTTTAACCAACCCATCACTGAAACCCAGGAGATCTCCTGTTATCGGTTCGCTATCTCTGAGTGTTGGCTCCTGTTCAGCACTGCAGAGACATGCAGAACACAAAAAAATATAAATAAATAAAAGTAACAGTTCAGCAGGTTATTAAAGCACATGGTTTGGCTGGAAAGCACACACATCTCTTTAGCAAATGTGTTTGTATCACGTTTAATCAAATGTATTTTGGGGACTGTCTTGTGGGGATATTGTTTAAGGCACCAAAAAAAGGAGATGTGATTTGTTCTGTAATTACTCTGAAATGAACACAACAGAAATCAGATCATGTTGGTGTTTACGCCAGCCACGCAACAGCAGGAGTGAGGCGGTTATTGATTTTGTTTACCTGTCCTCTGGGGTGGGACTGTCCGCTGGGCCTCCTTCTTCCTCTGCCAGATCTGGCTTGTTGTAATCAGTGCTGCGAGGAAAACAAACTCAGGATCAAACAGTAAAGTGTTGGGGCTGTGGGCATCAGTGTTAAACTGAGAGGGGCTTCATTTTTAATCAACTAATGTTTAGGGGCTGCTTTCATAATGTTTGTTTTTTCACATGAATACCTGCTGTTCTTTGTGTCCAAAGAAAGGAGGGTATCGGACAAAGCAGCAAGCGTGTCAGAACTGGAGCTATGGACATAAATGCACAAGAAAAATGTTGAATGTTGAATTCAAAACACAAAAGAATGAAGTTTAAACAAACAGATATACTTGCTATCACATCTGGAGGAGGGCTTTGTATAAAAACATAGTAAAAGGTATAAAGGTAAATCCCAAACAGCCAATATTGTATAATGCAGTTAAAGACGTTACATTACTGTTTAGTACCGGGAAGTTTCTTGCAAATTACAGTCGAGAAAGCAAACTACCAAACAACTGATCAAAAGCATTTTTACTCTATATTCCAAAGTGGTGCATTGAATGTAAAGTAATGGTTGTTGCTTTAAGTTTTTGAAGACGAAGCAGCATTTCTTTTCTTGTTTCGTGGAAATGTTCAATTTCTCCTATCTAACAGGCTTCTGCTCCGACTTGTCATGTAACGGGTTTCAGATTAAAAATATGTAATAAACATAAATAATGATGAGGACCAGTTTGTGATGTTATGCTAAAGTTATCTGGGATCTAATGGACACTAATTAAAGATTTTGAAACAACAGAAAAGTGTCTTTCATTTGGTCTGCAGCCAGACACATTGATCTGACAAATTGATCTTAAAAACTATAGCATTTTCATCACTATTAAGGCTTTTGGGATATCCAATAAAAGCCTTACCAGTTGCAAAATGTTTCTTTAAGAGATTAATATGAGATTTTTTTTAAAAAAAGGAAAAGAGGATATTGCAAAGGTTTTGCTGCATCTTGTTTGATTGGTTCAGGAGGATGTGGATGGTTTCCCAACAATTCTTGTTTGCTAGCCAGTAGTTTCAATGCAAAAACAATATTAAGTCTAATGAAGGACAGCTAGTCATAACTGTTATTGAAATACCTGAGAACATCACACACATGCAGGAAAAAGGAAACAGGATAGTTCCTTGAACAAGTCTGACCTTGGTTCTGCAAATGGCTCAGGCTCTAGTTGTAGTTCTGGACTAGATTCTGGTTCAGGCTCTACTTCTGTTTCAACTTTAACCGCTGACACAGCTTCTAGTTCAATTTCAGCTGGAGTTTCATCTTGGGGCTCTGATTGCTCCTCTGGTTCTGGTTCTTGCTTCTGTTCAGCTTCAACTTTAACCTCTGGCTCAGGCTTTTGTTCAACTTCAGGTTCTGTTTCTGCTTCAGAAACAACTGCAGTTTCAAATTTATATAGGGGTTCTTGTTCTTTCTCTGGTTCTAGTTCTTGCTTCTGTTCAGCTTCAACTTTAACCTCTGGCTCAGGCTTTTGTTCAACTTCAGGTTCTGCTTCAGTAACAACTGCAGCTACAAATTTATCTAGGGGTTCTTGTTCTTTCTCTGGTTCAGGTTCAGGTTTAGTCTTCACCAAAAGTTCAGTCACAGGGTCTGTAGGGACCAGTGCCACAGGAGCAGGAGAAGCTGCAGTAGGAGCTGACCGTGGTACTGGAACTGGCGGTTCTGTGACAGTTGAGGCAGGAGACTCTAAACCAACTGAATTCTGGGCAGGGGAGGTTTTTGATGCAGGGAAAAGTTTGAACAGTGGAGTTTTATCCTCAGGTTGTGGTTCTGTGGAGACAAAGTCAGTGAGCGCCTGGCCAGCGGCGTTTGTTGCCTCATCTCCAACTTGCTCGGACTGAGAAAGGGGTTCTTTTTTCACAGGCTCAGAACTGGGCTCCGTTGCCTTTGGATTTAGAGCCTGATTTATATCAGATTTCTTCACAGTGTTGTTGACTCTGTAACCACAAAAATGATGAACTGAACCAAGGGAAGTAATTCAGCACATGCACTAATTCTAAAACATGAGGCGAGACTCACGCGGTCCGGGCTTTGGGTGTAGGAGCAGAGGCAGCAGATGTGGGAGGAACAGCAGGGGAGGGTGCCTCTGTGTTGGCAGGTGCTGGAGTAACAGCACCTTCGCTTTCATCATCAACAACCTCCACTCTGCATGCATACACACAAATTAGATGTAGCTATCACAACCAAAAAGGTTATTTTTAGCCCCAGGTTAAAAGTTATATAAAGAATATTTCACCTTTTGGCCACAAATGAAGGAATGTTGGTGGTTAAAGATGTGTCAGGTGATGTCTCTTTAGCCCTGAAGTTGTAAAGATAAAGATATCGGAATATGCTTGGCTTTAAAAAGAAAAACAGGTTAAAACTCATAACATCCGTTAGTGACAAAGCAGAAGTCATACATACTCGTATAGTTTAGCAGCAGACAGAACGTAGGACCGCTGTTTGGCTGCTTTTGGCTTCATAACACTAATGGCGGCCTCCGTCCTGCACAATAAGTCAACCTTGAGTTAATGGAAGGGCTTCTCAACATCAGGCTTTTCAGGGTCAGCAGAGTCTTACCGTTTCTCCTGTTCTTCAGGACTAAGCTGGCCTTCTGGGTTTTCAGAGGTGTTTCTCACTATATGAGGGGCTCTATGGAGCAAAAGCACAAACATAAACCACATGAAAAAAAAACCTTCTCAGTGAGATGCAAAATGTTATCTGCAGTCCATTTTTCTTCACTTACATTTTCCTGTAGGCCTCTGAGGGCTTTTTAGTGAAAATTTTCGGTTTGCTATGATATAAAAAAGATTAATTTCAATAGATTTGACAATCCGATATCATTATGTAATTAAATGTTCTGTTTCTAGAGTGAAGATGCTTTTACCTGGTGCCATTAGAGGGCGCAGTTGAAACAGGCTTGTCTAGTTTAGTAAAAACACCCCTGAGGGAAAAATAAGAACGTTATTAACATTAAAATATATGCTGCATTAATAAATCCACATGTTAATACAGGCACATCCCAGTAAATTAGGCAAGAAATTACAAATTGATTTTTAAATGTTTTTTTTTTAAAGGTACAGGTATGTCTAAATACTATGCAATATGTGGACTATATTCTTAAAAAAACATAGATAACATGGTCACCCAAAAAAATCACTGATTGTGGAAACTTTTCACTGGACTTCCTGCAACTTTGAGTCTTTTCCTCCACACCCACCACCACACTGTGGCAAATAAGTTTTTTATTTAAAATGCAAACTACAGTTAGAAAGAGAGAATTTCACAGCACCTTTCCACCTTGGCTAATATAAGATCATTCTGACGTCTCATATACAGCGTTTTCTTAATTTAGGGACATGGTTCCTGAACTTTTCCTCATTCTGTTTACAAGAAAATTGTCCGTGGTTGAAAAAATAAAAGTAAACTAAAGCAAATGATCTTTAAATAATGCATACCACCTTTAAAGATTAATTGATTTATTTGACTGTGTTATAGAATTCAACATTCCTATGAATGATAATAATAATAAAAAAAACTTTAAGTATACAGTGGATTTTTCTTCAGGTTAATTCTACAACGCCTCCCTGTAATTACACTTGGGCCCCCCCTAGGGGGGCTACCCCCTATTTTGAGACCACTGATTTAGGGAATGCAAGAGTTTCCCTAAATCATTTGATCAAAAATTAAAAAGTCTGATTTAATCTTTACTGTCTATTTACAGAAACGGTTTAAGTTATTTCTCCTACCTGATGAGGTATCCTTGTGTTGCCGGTTTACTAAAAGTCAAAACAGATATTTGGTGAAATGAAGCATAAAAGAAAAACATGTAAATCAACAATGTAAATCTGTGACCATACTGATACTATGGTTTTACCTCTCGCTGTCAGAGTTTACTGGTGGGGGGGTGGATTTTACTGGTGAAGACACTGGACTTGTTTCAATGGGAGCTCCGTTCAGTCGCCTGGCTCTAACTTCTGCCAACCTGTACAGATTGTTTTGGGTTTTTTTGGTTGAGTGACTTGGCAGCTGATGAGTTGGACAGGAGCGTTTGAAAATATATTTTTTCTCTTACCATGGCTTCTCCTCCTCCTGAGTTTCAGGCTCGGGTTCGTTTCTTTGCTGCAGCCAGCTGCCATCTCCCTTCAGCTTTGTTCGTACTTTGGTGGTGCGAAGCACAGCTGCTCGGTCTCCAGCTGGGACACAAACAGGAAGAAATATGAGTTATGACATGCATTGCAGGGTGCATGGTCATTACATTCTAGTGTGTGTCCACTATTGGCATTTCCAACACATCCTATCCTAGAAATTTAATTGAAACATTCTTGATTATTGTCAATTTGACAGTATAAAAACAAAATTCTATCTACACCAAGCACATACGTTAATAAATGTAATTAATAAATGTAATTTCAACACATTTAAATCAACATAATATGTTGGTAACACTGTCTATATATTGTTTTGTTGGCTGGAAGTTAGTTGCCTGACAACCAGGACATGGATTACTGTTAGTGACTTTCAACCATTGTGTTTTGTCTGACAGAAAATTGGGTTAGATAGGTTTATGTTGACATGTGTGAACTAGATAATCATAGTAAAAGAACCGCTATAAAACTTGTGTTATGTCTTTTCTTAATAAAAAAGCTCTTAGCCACAGTGCTAAATCCAAACACCAGCTAAAATCCAGACTTGTTAACCCTGACTTACAAGCTGCCATAAACTGAATGACTCGATGTTCCAATTCTCTGAGGACAGTCCCTATTTAATTAAATTAGTTGAGTGGTAATTTCTATTGTAAATGTAAATCATCCTATTCTGTTGGCAAATCAGATTTAATAAAGGGAAAATAACACTTTGATCAAGAAAATGGCTCTACTTAGATTTTAATTTGTGCAGTGTTTGTTTTCAGTACAGCTGCCATAACAGGAGCTGTTTATGAGGGGCACTGGCCCCTCTTGGCCCCTGTCTGGAACTGCCATGTTGGAATCTGTTTTTTTTTTTACTGAAGATATGTTCCAAATGCAACATAAAACAAGGTTTTATTAAACTGAAAAACAACAGGCATCTGAGAGGTGGCTGCAGGATGAGTAAGAGAGAGAGAAAAATCATAACAGGATGACTTGTAAAGCATTGCCTGCAGTGTCAGCAAGGGTTCCTCCCAGGAGAGATGTTACAGAACTAACCAGCAACCTTTATTTTAATTATTATCAGAGCTATTTATATGTAGTTTTGGCTTATTTATAATAGTGATAAATGTAAATAATTGTGTCGTCTACTCAGTTTAGACGTATGAGAGTTGCTCCAAAATATACAATAAAATAAAAGAGCCAGTTAAGTGAAACCCATGATAGAGGGACAGATCATGACCTGGTTAAATGTGCATTTCTTCTGTTTACCTGCTAGCTTCAAATAAAAGTAATTGTTTTTGTTTTCTTTTTCCAAGTATAGCTGTTTTTAGCATCTCATTAGCTATGAAAACAAGCTATTAATAACAGAAACATTTGTATTTTACAAGGATGTTCCCTGTTTTTTCTTACAAAAATAATCAACTTCTCAGTTATATCTGAAAGAAAGAATAGTGGAAGTGATAGAAGAGGAGAGATGATGCAGGAAGGAAGGAACAGATGCGAGAAGAGTTAAAGCGAGGGAAGAAAAATAAACTGATGGAAAAAAGAGTGAAGGGAGAAACAGGAATATTAAAACAAAATAGCAGAAAAAGCTAATATGTTAAAAAAAGAGGGAAGAACATGATCAAGACTGACTGAATGCATGAATGCATGACCCACCGCCCCTACTATATTAATACTTCTTTTACTACTTTTTTCTTTATACTCTTACGAAATGCTAACAACAATCATCCCTGCTGTTACACTTGAATTTAAAGAGTAAAAACAAACAAACTGTTCAGTTATAGATTTTTTATTTCATCTTAAAAATATTAAATTATATTCTATTGCTGAGTTGAAAATCCCTGGAGTTAATCTCAGAAATCTGGTCACCTTACAATGAACTCTATATCTTACAAGGGTTTACCGGCCTGTTTGAACAGGTGTCGTTTTATACCTTTAACACAGCTGGGTTTTTTTTGTTTTTTTTAACATGCATGACAAAAAAAATTATGACTTTATTTAATATATACCAAGAATAGTGGTTTGGGATTTTAAATATATGCCATCATCTTGATGTTTATCAGCTATAGATTGTACAGATGCTTTCCTTTTTGTATGAAAATATAAAAAACAATCCAATCAAACCCAGCAATACTCTCTGCTGTGTTTAAGTTTAACCACATTTTTAGAAAATATGTTTTTCAAAGTAATCAATTCAATTTGTTTATATTAACATAAAAACCACATTTTAATGCATTTTCTTGAAATTTACCTGATTTATTTGTTGTAAAACTTGCAACCATCTGCTTAGAAACAGATTTACCAGTCAGGTCTATCAGCTAGTTTTAAATTTAATAGTGACTAAGAAAGATTTCATTAGTAATCCATTCCTTCCTGTTTCCCTTGGGTATAAATTTGATACGACACAGAGCCATCTGTGGAAACCACCAGAAAACATTCAAGAAGCCCAAAGCCAAAAAATGCATTTGCCTAAACGAAAAAAGAGGATTGAATAGGAGATAGATGTGTAAGATCCAAGTTTATTTTATCACCAATTCAATGAGGATGTAAGTAAGAAAAATAAATTTTTAAATCTAACTATTAGAGAAAGGCTGAGAAGAGTTTGTCTTTTTATCTAATTTTATCCCAGTTTTCATCAGTTGTCTGCTACTAGTATTTAGAAATCAATTTGGACTTGATGATATATGAATTTTCCAAGAAGTCAGAAATTTTGAACAAAAAAAGGGTTAGGGTTTCAGGAATCACTTTGTTAGCGCTTTTCAATTGGTCTCATTGGACTAATAGTCCATATCGCAGTATAAATGTCTCTGAACCCCAGTCGGCCTCAGCAGATGGCCGCTCACACTGAGCCTGGTTCTGCTGGAGGTTTTTTCCTGTTAAAAGGAAGTTTTTCCTCCCCACTGTCCCTACAAGCATGCTTAGTGTGAGGGATTTCAATCAACTTATTTTCCTTAGATAGAAAACTTTGAATCAATTTAAATGCATGATCTGGTGAACTGAAAAGGGCCTTCAGATGACGTGTTGTGAATTGCCGCTATATTAATAAAGTGAATTCAATTGAATTGAATTGAATTCAATCACCCGCTAACAAACATAGATATGATATTTTGAAGGATAGCTACATCTTCTTAAGCAAACTAACCAATAAAAATAAGTCCCTTTTTCCAGGAAACAGTTGGTTAAATTGAAAACATGAAAGAGTGATTTAAACAAAGTTTAAATGGTAGCAAACATTAGTTTTCTTTCTAATGTTTGCTACCATATTTATGGGTTCTCAGCATTTTTATTAGAATAGAATAGAAAATCCCTTAATTTTCCCACAATGAGGAAATTCTGGTGTTTACAGAAGTAAAAAGATTATAGAAAATAAAGACAAATGTGGACCTTGACAAAATGTATAAGAATAACATACTAGTGATAAATATAAACAAGAAAATACTGTACTGTAAAGGGTTTTGTTAATAACATTGTCTAGTTTGATGTGTTTTAGTGCAGTTTTTTTTTTTTTTTTCATAGAATAAAATGGTTTGCTAATTTCTGATGTGAACTGAATATGCAAACGGAAGCAGAGACAGAGGATTTAGGGAATTTAACCAAAATGTGAAAATTAGGGATGGGGCGATGCTCAATACTCAGATAAATAACAATATTAACATTTAAAGATACAGTGCCTGTTCAGTGTTAATCAGACTACAATCATTATAATATGGGATTTTCAAACCTTGAGGAAAGATAAAAGCTGTAACCCTAACGATTTTTACGGGGTACATGAAGTCTTAATATGCTAAATTGAAACAGTGACAGAACGACTCTGCCCAGCTCAGCACAGAGGGGCGATAACATCAGATTTTATTGTAGGAGGCACATTGTATCATAATTAGATCACATTAATTGGTCTTCTCACCGTTTGACATGTTTCTCCTGGTGGGATCTCTGTTCTTTCCCCTACAGACGGCCTGGAAAATACATCAGCGAGAAACATTAGTGAAGAGAAAGTGTTTTATCAGCAAACCGCTTATCTTAAAATGAGCCAACTTTCATGGTATGTCCCCTCCCCAAAAAGGCTGTCAGGAATTTCTTACTCTCATCCTTCAAATATGCAGATCATCCTGTTCTACTACTTGCCTAAATATACTTCTATGGCTTACATGTGAATGAACACACACATAGTGAGTGATGTCTCATATCATCAAAGATGGATTCTGGTTTCCTACTTGGAAATGAGTCGATCCCAGGGTTTTATTTTGGATTAGAAAGCAACCTGTTCAGAGGTAAAAATCAACGCCCCAGGAGATTATTTGAAAAAAGAAAATACAAGTTAGAGACTGTTTCCTTATCTCAAAGAAGCTTATGCAAAAATAAGGGGCATTCAGCCAGGCTGAGAATGCAAATATTAACAGCTAAAACTCCGTAGGCTCTTAGTTTAGCCCTTCTAGAGCAAGTTGAGCAAATATTTCTCAGGAATGTTTCCCTGAATAAAAAAGTGAGACCAAATGGAGAAAGGATGTTAATCCTGGCAGTCCACACATGATAAATCATTAATGAAACACGGCAGCTTTTAAAGAAAAGCCCTGAACATGAGAAACGGCTGAAACAAGTGGGCAAACAGAGTTAATTATCCGTTTAAACTGGCAAACATTCACACAACATGACTAATCCAGCGTCCCATCACAACAAAACAGTTAAGATTATCAGTTAAATCATATTATAAACAAGCCCCGGTGAGATTACATACCTGTTCTAACCTAATGTCCAACAAGGCGATGTCCACACAGCTGAGTGTGGCCGGTGTGAGAAAAAGAAATGTCTTTCGTTGCTGACAGGTGTCTCAGTAAACCAACAGGTACGGGCGTGAGCTCTAACAAGCCCAGCCAGTCAAGGAGGGTGGACATGGGGTGGAGCAGTGTGTGTGTGTGTGAGTTGGTGTGTGTTTATGTGTGTGTGTGGCAGAGGTTGCTAAGAAATGTTTTTTTTTTTTTTTGTTTACCACATCTGTGTTTTGTTCTACAGAATCAGTAAGCATGTACCTGTCCTGCAGGTGGAGGACGATCAGTTCTTCAACCAGAGTGAAAGGTGACAGGGAAGAGGAGGACAATGTGCAGAGCGTGGCATTCATAAATGAGGCGAGTGGCAGCAATGTCTCCTGTGGGGAACAATCGTGTCATGCTCTGCGGGGCCCGAAACCCCGGGAAGCAAACACACATCATTAAAACAAAATCAAGAGAAGCTCACAGAGCTGAGCCCAGAAAACAAAAACATTAAGACTTGATTTATGGTGCCATCTTCTGTGGTGTCTTGAACACTTATTTTATATTTAAAAACACAAACTTTGAAATCTTTTTTTTTTTTTTTTGGCATTTTGCTGGATTATAAAGGTCAGTTTAGATAGGGGATCGCAGAGCCTATTGTAAACAAAACGTTTGCTCAGACTGACTGAGTTGGTGTTTGTTCAAGAGAAAGGCAAGAAAAATGAGATCAGGTTCCCTGCAAATGTCATGCAATTTCTTCCATAGATGAAAACAGTCAGAGCAGGGAAATCAACCAGAAACCCTGCATGTTAGCTGCCAAAATAAACAGTCAGACAATCGCACATATTAGACTTCTGCATGGATGCAGCAGCATGTCACAGTAACAGAAAAGAGGAAATTTAAATCTGTGAACCAAGGTTTCGCTCTGGTTAGCAGAGCTACACATATTATCCTCCCTCTTTTTCCTTTAACACCAAACCAGTCGGATGGCCTTGTCTTGTAACTCTGACTTCACGAATGAATCATTAAGGTGCTGCTGGCGCAGAATTAAAATGAGAATGCAAAGTATCTGAACTTCACTCCCTCCTAAATTTCACCACACCAAGAATAGGAATGGAGACAATGGCATCAGAAATGGTAGAAAACCTTTATTCTGGTTTCCTGCTAAAGTTCAGCTCCTTATCTTTTCTGATTTTATCTTTTTTTTTTAGGTTTTATCCCCTCATAAAAATCTAATGGTTATATTATAAAAAAAATAAACACAGTGAAAATACCTCTTAATCTACGTTGTTTAGCGAAATTCCTCAAATAGTTTTCTGCCGAGTTGTTTCTCATGGGAGAACATCCTGGTGGAGCAAGTCTCAGAGAGGACAGGTTTTGTCTGTTTTCTTTTAAACTGAAAGGTTTGTTAATGTTTATCTAAATGAATTTGGGGCCAAAATCAACATGACATCAGAAATGATCAGTTCTTGTTCTGGAGTTTAAGCCTTAACCAGATTGATTTTTTTTTTTCTACATTTCTTCTACTTTAGATTATATTTATTTTGTAATTTTATATACACATGTATACAAAAAGAAATCTCATTTAAAACAGCTCTAGACAATTTCATTTTTTAAAGTGCAGCCTTGAAAACAGTAAAATACAGAACTAACTTCTCATACCTTGAAATAATCCCTTGATAAGGGACTTATTACTTTTGTGGTGGAGTTGGGTTTATTGTCCTGCACTGGAAAAAAATCCAAATCTAGATAAGTCATTTTTTCTTAAAATAAGTGCATTTGCTCTTGGATTGAGGAGGTAAAGGAGACATTTTGCCAATGGAACAAGACAACTTTTCCACTTTAAATAAGAAAAGACAATTGCATTGTCTTATTTCAAGGGTATATTATCTAATTGTCTTATTTTAACAGTAGAAATACTCATTCCATTGGCAAACTATCTAATTTACCTACTCAAATTGAGGGTAAATAAAATTAATTTAGGAAATTTTAACTTATTTCTAGATTATTTTTTCCAGTGTGGAAGGTGTTGCTGCAGCAATAAAGCCACTTAACTAATAGTAACATGAATACCACTGCTACTTTATCTGTATGTAATTGAAATCCTTGGAACTGCTATATATAGCCTGAAATTCTAAGAGGTTCCCCTTCAGTCTAACTGAAAGTTCCTTTTTTTCCTCTCTCAGTGGTGAAACAGCTTATATAGACAACCAGAACACATGCTGAGTTTTTGAACCCTTGGTCAAAGTGGAAAAAATGTTCATCACTGATAATTGTTCTGTTTTGCGTTGTTTTTCTTTTAAAAATAAAATCATTGGTTTATAAATAACTATCCTGTTAACATTGGTCATATAAGTCCGCATTTAGTCTTTCACATTTCCCAAGGTTGGAGCATTAATGGAAATTGCACCTCCTCCTCTGGAGCATGCCCTGGCTACTGCTTCTTTAGCTCAATCTGCAGGTTTTCTAATGTATTTATTGTTGGTGGAGCTGATATCGCCTATAGTGAATCATTTCTGTGTTGATTAGGCCATAACGTATGCCTTGGATCAATGTTCTGTTGACAGATTATGACAAAGTGTGTTAGCTGTGTTTTAGCTTCTCCGCTATGCTCAACAGCTGGCATACAGAGCTTCTCAAAAGAAGTGACAGGTTTTTAAAAAGTTGCACCTCTGTTTTGCAGCCGACTCCCCAAGGTGTGGCGTCTGGCATCTCTGCGTCATTCGGCTAAAGTTAGCTTGAAGCTTAAAATCCATTACCATTTAGAAAATTCCAGAAATAGTTTTTCCTGCCATATTTCCCAAACATTAAAGTACAGCATGTATGGAAGCATCTAATGCTGAGGTGAAAACATGGGGACTGCCTGATACATATTCTTTCCATCAGAGAGATTTATTTATTTTTATGAGTTTGATTATTTGTCTCTGTGAACAGCCTTCATGTGACATGTGTTGGGAATTGGCACTATATTGATCAACTGGAATGAATTTTAATTTAACTTTTGCTGAAGTCCAAAAGTACCTGGTTTATTTAAATGTATCTTTAAAATTTGCACATAAAGCTTTGCTCCATCTCTATTATAATAACTTTAAATATCAGATGGATCGAGTACTTTGTTCTTCAGTATCCTTTTTACTTTTGGGTAATTTTTTGGTCGGCAACTTTTTACTTTTACTTAAGTGAAAATATTCTTACTGTTACTTGATTACATTTTTTGGGTACTCCACCCACCTCTGCTTGTGGAGAACACACGTATTCAACATAATCTCTTGTCTTTCCAATTTTTTTACAGCTGCTAAGAGAAAAAGGCCCATTAAATGTACAAATTAATGTCAAATTTATCTTAGAAAATGCTTCATGTTACATTATATTAAGAAAAATATCAGTTTTGCTATTAATTGTGACACTGGCAAGAGCGTAGTAAAGTATTCATTCAATTTTATTTTTCATATAAATGTATGTTAAACAGCTTTATTTTGGGTGACATTATGTCTGGGGATTATCCACATGCAATTATAGGAGATAACAGCATTATTGTTTCCATTTCAAAAAGCTGAAAACGACTTAAAAATATTATTGAACGTAATATCAGGGCTGAAAGTTTTTCTTTTAATTCTAATTTTCAGAATACTTTTCAAGTCCTTCATTTTGAGCAGCAGTTGTTTGCACTTTAAAATATTTTTCACAGCCTCGTTTCATCGGACTGCACTTGTGACCTTTAAGTTAGATAGCACAGTCAGACCACAGCTTAATATCTTTCATCATGTCCTGGTTTGAATTAGATAACACCACGAGAGGAAAAAATGTTTTTATCAGCTTCTCTGAATATATAGCCACTGGAGGAAGTAAACTTTTAATATAAGATAGAGAGCTCATCTAGGGTCTAGAAGAAGTTTTTTAAAGCTTTAGGACACATCAAAATACTTTAATAGAAAAACTGGATTAATGTATGATGTGAGACATGATGAATGGGTATTGCTTATATCAACAAGCAACAGAATGTGCTTGTTGATATAATCAATACCCATTCATCCTATTCATTCATTCATTCATTCATTCAAATGTGTGAAAAGTTTTCAAAGGAAGTTTCTGGCATTGAGTTATTTGTGTGTTTTAATGCAGATAATCTGCCATTAAACCTCCCACAGAGATTAAAGTGTTTATTTGTGTTTTAGAACATAAGCACAGCATTTATTATGGCTGGAAAAGAGGCTGTACATCAACGGTAGGGACTCAGATCGTATATAATTTTGCTGCATCATTCATTGGGGTTTATTATTAAAATTTTCATCTGGCACTGCATCCAAGAAAAAAGGATCACTTGGGGTTTTTTGTGGTTGGACGCATTGTGCTGAGGTGTGCCAAGACAAGATAGATAAATGGACTTCAGCTGTGGGCAGTTTTAGAGCAACCCTGGACAGAAAGGGTTAAAAAGGTTCAAAGAGCCTTGGAGAATTAGACGCAGCTGTTGTGGGATTTTTATTAACGTTATTTGTTGTTCATATTTGATGTCTTTACTTGTTTTTATTTTAGTTCCTTTCTTACATGGTTAACAGTGACGTGGTCCATCCCATTGAAGCCATATCCGTTTTTAAATAGTTGTGTGAAAAAGCAGCGAAAGGTTCATTTCTAAATGTGCAAAATAAAACTTTTATTGTCTGAATGTAGTAAAAGAATAAAAGTACAAACTTAAAGAAGACATCCAGGGTGGGTACTAACTAGTTCCATTTGTTTGACTAACTTCGACTAAATATTTGAGTAAACGAAAAATTTAGAAGTAATTTTTCTGTAATTTTTCATTTGTATTCCAGTAATATTCTTGTTAGAGTATGGCTACTCTTGAGTACAATTTCCTGTTCAATCTACCCAGCATGAATAATTTAGTCATCTACTGTTTAACGTAGTTAACATTGCCAGCAACTCTATCTTTTCCTGACATATGCATTACCTACTGAAAGGATTGGTTTTATCATTTTATGTTGGAAATGTAGAATTTAGAAAACTTTTTCTACCTGAATTTGTCAGTTTGCATTAGTTTTATTTAGCAGTTTTTTTGCACATAAATCTTTGATGAAATCACGTTTAAACATCATGTTTACTGTCATAGTTGAGCAGCCATCTTACAGCCATGGCCTCCGTCAAATAACAGAGGGCTCCCAACGAATCATGAAATGTCTCCTTTAATTTTGAGCCTATATATTCAGGAACACTTAATACTGGGCAAAAGTCCATAACCAAATACTGCCTTACATATGCTGTTATTATTATATATATATGGACATCAAAGTAGGTGTATGTTAATCTGACTCCACCAGATGGATATGCGGAGCAAATCCATCTGGAAACCTTCCGTTGAAGTAATTTTGGGAAGGGGCGAAAATACTGGTTACCTGATTGGCCTATGTTGGTGATAGACGGGCCAAATAAACCAATCAGATCCACGAAGCATATGACGTACTAACAGAGCGACGACGCAAAAACACAGCCACAAGCCAGGCTACTCTTGCCGAAACCAGTCGGGAGAAGAGCAAAAACATCTTTTCCTCTGAGAAAAGCCTCTAGAGCAGTGTTTTGCTCTTCTTTCAGTGAAGAAATACTCTGTAATTCCGATAAAACTTGCTCGATAGCCACGCTAACGCTAGTTTCATCGGCTCAAGTCGCCATGTTCTTGTTCACTGAACTGTCGCGCTTCCCGTTGCGTCACACCTCAACCCGCCTCAAAGCCAACTCTGATTGGACGTTCGTTTGGTGAACGGCTCCAAATTTTCTTTAACGGAGAGTCTCCAGACTGATCTGCGAGTGAAACCTTGAAAGCTTGCGAGATCAGGATCGTCTCACGAGGCTGGCTGTATGTGTCCATTATATCCCAAATTAAAAAAAAAGCATGATTAGTATCAGCAAAGTCTTTCAAGAAACAAAAGAATTGCATAAATACATTCCAGAGATCCATCGTCATGAATCATCTCAGCGTCAACTTATTACAAGATATCAATAAAATGTGTTCTGTCTCAGTCAGGGATAAGAAAGTACAGAAGTGCGCTGACCTCTTGGTAGTGACCTGGGTGGGCTGAATGGGATTTTTTTTTTTTTTTTTTTCCTTCTTTTTTTTGTAGGGATTGTTTTTGCTGTATTTGTTTCTATATCTTGTTGGATAATTATATATTTTTTTTGTATTTACAAACTGTATGTATAAAAGGATTACTCAATAAAAAGACAGTGATTAAAAACTTATTACAAGATATCATTCCTTATTTGAATACAGTTTTTGCATATGCTTAATAAAACATGGTGGAGAAATGCAGCCATAAACAGCATATTGAAATTTACCTTCAAGCCATTTTATACAAACAATATGGAACTGGTTATAAAACCTGCTTAAAGATGCCTTTACTGTGAAATTTTGTTCAATGATTTTTGTTTTTGTTAAACTGCTGCTAGCAATGCTAAGAGAAGACTTCATGTTTAATTCCAAAACCTCTTGAAATCTTTTGCCAAATACTAAAAATATAAGAGTTACTCTTTAAAAAAAAATCTGACATGAAATGTTGGTTTGTTAGGAAGATTTCTAGCCCAGCAGGAGGAACCTACAAGCAATTGGAGTGGCAGATGTGAGATTGAGTCACTCTCTAGTAAACTGCAAAATAAATGCTGACCAAAAATGGCCTCCAAAGAGCTTGGATCGATATGACAAACTTTATTTTAAACAGAAAACAAAATGAAAAACCAAAATCACTTTCACATCACAAACAGTATCCATTCACTAAAATGCACACCTATCCCAAATACATAAATCCATTTATTTTACCACAGTGCACCTTTCCCACGATTCACACATTCACTGAGTAAATTAAGTATATTTGCGAGACTTTTCTTTTCTCAGTTATTTGACACTTAAAAAGTGTCCGAATTTTTAGCTAAAGGTATTTTGAAAGCGATTGTAAGCATAACAGAGTTTAATCACAGTTCAAATACAAAACAATGGAGGTGAAATTGTGAATTAGGTTTTGTATTTACTATTGAAGTATGAGTTCTTTGCCGCCATCTGCTGGTGGAATTTGGGAATAGCATTATTAGGCACAGAGGCTTCTAGTGATGAGGAGTCCTTGAATAGTTCTTTCAGTGCATCATGTTGGCTTCATCTTCTCTCTACCCATCAAGCCCCACGTCTAAGATGAGGATAGCTCTCCACCGTGCGTTTGATCCCCTCCTTCAGACTGACCACAGGCTTGTAGCCCAGGTGCTCTTTGGCACGCTCACAGCTATAGTAATGATAGGTCCCAGCCAAAGCCACTCTCATGGGTGTAAAGGTGGGTTTGAAAGACATAAAGGGGCGCAGGATCCAGGTCAGCAGCCACAGGAGCAAAGCTATTCCGTAAACGAGTCCGTATGGGAGGTGGAAGCGTGGGGCAGCGTATCCTAAGCCAACCAGAATCTCCGACATGAAGTCCCAGAAGCGGACTGGCTCATCATTGGTGATGTGATACGGCTGCAGGAGGGGAGGGCACAGAGGTATAGATCAATGGTGAGGTTGTAAAACAAACTAAAAAATGAAAAGATGAGGTCTCACTCACTTTTCCACAGATTGGGGAATCTGCTCTCAGGCACTCAGCAGCAAGGATGTGGCCATGAACAACATTCTCCACGTACGTGAAATCGACAAGGTTTGTTCCATCACTAGTTTAGGGGGAAACAAAAAAAAGGGAAAGGAAGAACAAAGGTTACAGTTCAAAGTCGCCCCAGTGGATACGATAGCAAGCAGCAGGGGGCTTGTTTGGCAAAACACACTTGAAAATACAATCCACAAAATGAATGTAATAAAAGACGCAGCATTGATCTGAGATCAGCGGCCAACACTTTGACCAGCTGATACGTTTACTTTTATTACCTGGTTTGGCAGCTGGAAACAAGAAGAGAATCAAGCTAATTGTGAAAATTGCTGGTAAAAATCAAAGGAGATAGATTTCACAATTGCTTTAAGTCACAAAAAAAGACCGACATCTGGAAGGAGATTCGGGCGAACCAAACCAAGAACAAAATGATAAAAACCTTTTTTATTAGCCAGTTTATCATTCAGATACCTTTAAAAGGTTAACAGCTTTGATCTCTTGCTCAATCTGTCTTTGTTGATACTTGGATATGGATGTTATTGAATTATAGCCCTGAATCATTGTGGGGCTGTTTCTGTGTACTTGGGTATTGTCTTGTTCTGAGGTTATGCTGCATATTTGCAAGCTGAGTTACTGACAGTATGAAACAAGGAGAAAATGATCAGGTTACATTTTAAACATCCTTCATCAGTAGAACAATGAGCACAGTTATGTTTCCAGCTGCCCAGAAATATCAGAACTTGGAAGTTGAAGCCTCTTGTGGACGTTTGTGGTATTCATTGTTAATAAATGATGACTGGGTTAGTGTGTTAGAACAATAACAATGGCTAAAACACTGCTCTGTGTGATATTTTGTCAATATAAACCAGCTTGTTTCAGTTCAAAACTGACTAAATGTCACATGAATAAAACATAAATAAAAATGTAAAACAGTAAAAGAGAGAAACTGTTACATTCTGCTCTGTTAGCACCAACTTTCTGACTCATAGTTCCTACTCATTGAGGCATTCCAGTTAAAACGTTCAACTCTGAGGTCATAAATTTTGAATTTTTAGCACAAATGAAATTCATCAGTTTTCCCAGAATATATATATAAATGAATATCTATCTATATATAGAAATTTATTTATTTTATTTATTTTTTTTCTGCATTTAGCAGGTGCTTTTATCCAAACCGACTTACAAAGTAGGCATTAGCATGAAGGGTCTTGCCTAAGGCCCCCACAATGGCAGCGCATTCCCTCCAGTGAGGATTCAAACCCAGGGCCTCCTGTGTGCAAGTCGGGTGTCTTACCACTTGAGCTGGCCAGCCTACATCTATCCATCTAGATTGTTGTCAGACCAGAAGACAAAAGCTCAAAAGCAAATCCTGAAAGTCTGATCCATTTCTCCGCTCTCTGATCTCCAATTTCCAGGAATCATTTGCTTTTCTATTTTACCAAATTATATAAATTATGCATGCATCCCACAAAAAAATTCCATGTTTTTCTTTATTCCTTTTCACAGCTTTTGTGCTTCTTCCAACTTTCTTCCTAAACCTCTCTGACATTTGAAATATTACATCTACTTCCCTCAGTTTCAGTGTTAATCTTAGTGACAGTGGTGCCTCAGTTTATTTATCCACTGATCAGATTAACTTTTTTTTATTTACCCGTCTGTCGATCCATTTCAGTCACCAGTCAGTTCATCTGTGTGTCCCTAACATTTTACTACATAAACCAAGAACTTATGCATGATTGTTTAAAAAAATAGAGAAAGTTTTTTTCTTTTTGGAGGCAAATTGATGGTTAATGCCTTCCAGAAATGACCCAATCGCTCACCCGATGATGAACTTCATTTTCCCCTGGCGAGCGGCGTCCACCAGGGTTGGAACCAGCTGCGGATCCCGAGGGCCAAAGATGCCGTGAGGCCGAATGGCAGCTGTGAGGAAGCCCTTCTGCTGGTCGCAAGCCTTCAGCACCAACTGAAACGCAGTAAACAAGTCAACTTTGAAGGAGAATCTATTGAAATATTACAAAGGTTGTAAAAATATAAAGTTAATGAGCAAAATCGAATGACTTTAATGAGCCTCCTACCTTCTCCTGCTCAATCTTGGTCTGAGTGTAGTAGTCAATGGGTCTCTTGGCATAAGGCAGATCTTCTTTTCCGTTCTTAACGTCTGTGCCCTCGAACACCACGCTGGCACTGCTTGTCAACACCAGTTTCTGGCAGCATAGTGGGGCATCTTTTCACATTTCTCAGTTCTCAAAGAGAAAGTTTGCTAAACCAAAGTTTTAGTACCTGTACTCCAGCATCGATGCAGGCCTGGATAACCGTCTGGGTGCCCTGAATGTTGACCCTCTCAAACAGCAGCCGGTCGTCGCTTGCAGGAGCCGGGGAGGCGCAGTGGAAAACCAGAGACACATCCTCCAGAGCAGAAAGCAGAGCCTGGAGGAAATAAAGTAAGATAAAGGCACATTAACAGCTGCTGACTGCTAGCTTTTATAAAACAACTACACTTTTTTATTTAACTGCATCTATGTTGGACATATTAACTACCAAAGAGAATGTAAATATTAAAAAGGACTTTTTGTTTTTTTACATAATATTTCAATATGCATGACTATGAAAACCTTGGCCTGCCTAGACTCTATGTACATCTAATTTATTTCTAGTCTTACTACAGCTGATGTGTGAAGGACATTAAAGATTTGTTAGAGAAGATTAAAAAAAGAGAAAGTTTTTTGCGATTTGGTTTATATTAGAAAAAAAAAGTTCTCAAAGTTTTCAACATCTCATGGCTTAATCCTCCACTGGAAAATGGAAATCATATGGCACAGCTGCAAACATTTTCAGACATGGCCGTCAACCTGAATTTAGGAAATAATCAGTTGACAGAAAAACATATCAAATCACACATCTGACTTTTAGAAGACATTAGTAAGAAGAACAAAGAAGTTGATATGAGCGATAAGAAGAGTGCCAATTTATACCTATATAGACCAGATATGATATCAGCATGAATCATCCACACTTTTATTTTGAAGTGTGTAAAGTTAGAGAGAGTTTGATGAAGTCATTTTACTCAGAGAACAATGGCCCACAACAAAAAGTATGAGAACAGCTGAACAATTTATTATTGATGGTTAAATAAACTTTAAACAAAAGAGGATGGGAGCCAAGTTTTCTATCAGTATGCTCACAATCAAAATTTTATATGCAGAAGATATATTCATTAAGCTTTTGATTTATTTTGTTTGCTTTTTTCAGCTGGTAATGGATTGATGTCTGATGCCAATATCGGATCAGAACATTAGACAATAAAAAAGGGGGGAAAAAATCCTCCTCAACAACATTTTTATTATATAAACAACCAACATAACCCCACCTCAAAACAAGTAGATAGACAAATAGACAGATAGTAGTGATGGTGAGATGAAGCCCCATTAGACACCATTTGAGCTAATTTGCTGCAACGATCCCCACAGTTCATGAAGCTTCATGTGAACATGTCACCACCTACTGGTGGACAGTAGAACTACAGTTTGTAATAAAATTAATGATTTTTTCCCCCCTTTTCAGTTCATTTGAAATTGTTAATGGTTGGTTTGTGTAATAAAATCTTTTCTAAGTTTTTTTTAAGTGTAAAATGTCTTAGAACAATAATTTAAGGTGCGCTGTTTTTCTTCAATTTTAGTGAAATAAGCTCAAGGAGACAGTGAAGCGTTTGTAGAATTTGGGCAATGGTGAGCAAAATGAAAGGCGTTAGTCATTTTTATTCAAACATAATAGTTTTTTTCCCCCACATTTTTTGGTTTTAATCGGGTTGGAAGTTGTGTTCAACCAATCTTTTGACTAAACCGACCTAATTTGGCAGCGTTTTTACCCAATCTATATTTTTACTAGGGCAAACCAATACAAATTAGTCTTATCAGCCAAAATAAGTATCATCACAACTTTCAAAAGCCAAAGGCAGGTCTTGAACCATCATTCGCAGGAGAGGGAGTCTATGCCTTACAAATGAAACCATAAGCGATTAATTGCCCAATGGAGAAAATACAACTTAACACTAGCGTTACAATTGTGTCAGGTTGCTTGCTCAGATTTTGATCATTACATTGTTTATTCTAACCAAAATAGTTTTAACCAACTAGATTGGTTGTTTTTTTCCAACCAATCTATTCTTGGAATCTATCCAAACTCTGTCCAACTGACAGCAACTCTCCAACAAACTCCCACATCATGACTGAATACTGAGGCTGTTTAAATGCCAGATAGGTAGATAGATCAGATATTTAGATAGATTAGATAGATAGATCAGAACAAGTTGACTCAGAAAAGCCTGAAACTATATGCATGCCACACTTTTCAGATTCTTTTCAATGCACATTTTGGACATAAAGCATCATTGATAAAATAGCTTATACTACACAACATGCTAAGCAAGTATTTGTACCTCAAATAAAAACATATAAATGCTTTGTTGTGACGTAAGAGGGTGAAGGATTATTGATGCTCTGCCTCAATCTGTGGGGAGAAGCCGGATATCTGACCTGTTTATCACAGAGGTCCCCCTGATGAAAGGAGACGCCTGGAAGCTCGTAGCTCTGTCGGATGTCAAACACAGAGACAGAATAACCTCTGTCCACCAGCTTCTCCACCAGGTGTCTGCCCAGAAAACCAGAGCCTCCGATCACTGCACACCGCTTACTGCTCTGGGGGAGAGAATAGAAGCCATTATCGACCAAACACACTAAATAAAACTTAAGAGAAGATCTCTGACTCACCGGCCGAATTCTTGTAGCCATAATGAGATGAAACTGACCGGTGGAGAAATTACGACTGTGAGAAGGAAAAAAGTTTGTCTTCCTGTTTTCTTTTTGGTTGTTTTTGTAGCTAACAGCACAGAGACGAAAAACTTTCAAACACGAAGAACACAGTGTTTAACTTTTGCCGTTATTCTACTTAAACCCTGCTCTAATTCAGCGTTTAAGCTACATGGACTGTTTCTATCAGCTGAGACAGTCTTCCTGTGATTGGTCAAGATATCCGCAAGTGTAAAGGCGGTGTTTACGGCCAGCCAATAGATATTAAGATACGTCAAAGAACGCCACAATTTTGACCAATAGCAGAACGCGATAGGATTACTTCCGCCTAGTGTATCGGAAGCCACGCCTCTCAGGGTTCATGACATGACGTTTCACCTCAAACCGAGTTTATTCCATTTGTATGAGCATTTTATCGTATTTATATTAAAAACAGAGAAGTTCTGATTTATTCAAGAAGGATTAATAAAGGCATGTACTTATATATATTTTTAATTTCTAAAAGAGTAGAATTGAATACAAACATTGTCAAACTGATGACAATGACAATCAAGCAAATAGGTTCACACACCACTAAAACGTTACATAATAATAAATAAAAAATAGTAACCAAATATCAGCGTAGACTGTAGAGCAAATGGTTTCCTATCTTTTTAGCTTCTGAACACAAAATGGTTCCAGAATGGCCTCATGACCCAACCTTTAGGTTAGAATAAAAAAAAAAAAACTTTCTGACTATAGATATAATAGTAATAAATCAGCATCAACAATTTGTATTTGGTTTAGTCCATTTTTAAGCGATGCTTTAATATCTTAAAACACATAAAAATGGTTTATCATCTTCATTTTTATTTGACAGCATATTTCATGACCTGTGACACCATGTGAGGTCATGACCCCAAAATTGGGAATCAATGCTGTAGAGGAGAAAAAACACAGTACTATATATATATATATATATATATATATATATATATATATATATATATATATATATATATATATATATATATATATATATATATATATATATATATATATATATATTACAAATATTAGTCGATTGTGATAAAGTTCATTATTTTCTATAATGTAATGATAAAACTTGAAAATTAATATATTTTAGATTCATTGCACACCAACATAAATATTGCAGATCTTTTATTGTCTTAATACGGATGATTTTGGCATACAGCTCCTAAAAACCGAAAATTCCTATCTCACAGAATTTGCATATTTCATCCTACCAATAAAAGAAAAGTGTTCTTAATCCAAAAAAAAATCAACCTTCAAATAATTATGTACAGTTATCCACTCAATACTTGGTCGGGAATCCTTTTGCAGAAATGACTGCTTCAATGCGGCGTGGCATGGAGGCAGGTGTTACGGAGGCCCAGGATGCTTCGATAGCGGCCTTTAGCTCATCCACATTATTTGGTCTTGCATCTCTCAACTTTCTCTTCACAATATCCCATAGATTCTCTATGGGGTTCAGGACAGGAGAGTTGGCAGGCCAATTGAGCACAGTGATACCATGGTAAGTAAACCATTTACGAGTGGTTTTGGCACTGTGAGCAGGTGCCAGGTCATGCTGAAAAATGAAATCTTCATCTCCATGAAGCTTTTCAGCAGATGGAAGCATGAAGTGCTTCAAAATCTCCTGATAGCTAGCTGCATTGAACCTACCCTTGATAAAACACAGTGGACCAACACCAGCAGCTGACATGGCGCCCCAGACCATCACTGACTGTGGGTACTTGACACTGGACTTCTGGCATTTTTTTGGCATTTCCTTCTCCTTGGTCTTCCTCCAGACTCTGGCACCTTGATTTCAATATGACATGCAAAACTGAGCAACAGTCCAGTGCTGCTTTTCTGTAGCCCAGGTCAGGCGCCTCTGCCGCTGTTTCTGGATCAAAAGTGGCCTGACCTGGGGAATTCGGCACCTGTAACCCATTTCCTGCACACATCTGTGCTCAGTGGCTCTGGATGTTTCTACTCCAGACTCAGTCCACTGCTTCCGCAGCTCCCCCAAGGTCTGGAATTGGCCCTTCTCCACAATCTTCCTCAGGGTCCGGTCACTTCTTCTTGTTGTGCAGCGTTTTCTGCCAAACTTTTGCCTTCCCACAGATTTCCCACTGAGGTGCCTAGATACAGCACTCTGGGAACAGCCTATTCATTCAGAAATATCTTTCTGTGTCATACCCTCTTGCTTGAGGGTGTCAATGATGGCCTTCTGGACAGCAGTCAGGTCGACAGTCTTACCCATGATTAGTGTTTTGAGTGATGAACCAGGCTGGGAGTTTTAAAGGCCTCAGGAATCTTTTGCAGGTGTTTAGGGTTAATTTGTTGATTCAGATGATTAGGTGCATAGCGCGTTCAGAGGCCTTTTTCATGATATACTAATTGTGTGGGATAGGAATTTTGTGTTTTAATGAGCTACATGCCAACACCATCCGTATTAAGACAATAAAAATTATATATTTAAGTTAGTGTGCAATGTATCTAAAATATATGAATGTTCAACTTCTATCATTACATTATGTAAAATAATTAACTTTATCACAATATGCTAATATTTTGAGAAGGACCTGTATTTTCACATGTGATTGTGTTTGTCACATATTTGTTTTCCTCTTTTTCATAAAAAAAATAACAAATGAAGATACAATACATGAAATAAAATAATATATATGGTGACTTTTACCTACTTTGTTGCAGTGCGAACTGGTGCAGTTTTCGAAACCACCACTTGGAGGTGTATTGAGTCAATTTCAAAACTGCGGCATTTAAAATATGGTCAAATAATCTGTATAAATGTGACGTGAAGGTGAGAATTGAGCTGAACATTCGTCGCCTTGACTGCTGTTAATACATTAAACCCATTTATAATAATATACGGGCCCTGTGATATTTAACATCCAATCAGCTTCCTGGCCGATGGGTGCGTTTGATTCTTCACACGGTACGTGCCTGTCTCCATCTTTTACCTGCTCTCCTCTCTGATCACAGAGCAGCGTTTAGAAACTGGCGCACAGTCGGTTAAAATCTTCCGCTCAGTCCGTGACAGCAGCTGGAGCGCAGGTTGTTAGCAAGAAAACGCGATTCCCCTTTACATCATGGCTGATATTTGTGTTAAATAAACAAAAGGATTTGATGAGCTTTATGCAATCTACTGATCCCTCCTTCATGATACAGTAGCTTTACAGCGTGGAGGAAAACAATCATTTCTTTTGAGAAGCTGCAGATCATATTACACAGGAATAAATGGTGAGTAACATCAGGTTATATCACAGTAACAGTCTTTTCTAGTTTGTTTTTTAGATGTTCTTTTTATACACAAGTGTGTCATTTATTACCAATTTTAATTACATTTTTTATTATGACATGCAAATAGGCAACCAGTGCTAAGAGACCATCCCTGCAGGGTCCAGTGCCCCCTCCTCGCAAGAAGACAACTCCCAAGCCAGAGCTGACAGAGGAGCAGAAGCAGGAGATCAGGGAGGCTTTTGAGCTCTTTGACACTGATGGATCTGGACACATCGATGTGAAAGAGCTCAAGGTAACATGAAGATTTACACTGATCGATGTGAGAATGTAGGATAAAATGTTTTCTGGAATCCCCTGAATGAGTGTTTCTGATTCTGAGCAGGTTGCTATGAGAGCTCTGGGATTCGAACCCAAGAAGGAGGAGATCAAGAAGATGATCGCAGAGGTGGACAAGGATGGAACAGGGAAGATCTCCTTCGCTGACTTTCTGGCAGTCATGACACAGAAAATGGTATACATGGACTGTCTTTTACTGTAGAGCGTATGCACCTTGAAGTTTCTTCACGTTACAACCTCATATGTAGAAAAGCTTCTTACCAGATGGCCATAGGAGAAAAGAATGAAGCAAAAATCATGGCAATTGTTCATCGTTTGAATCAAATAGTCTCTTGCAGCTCTGGAGACCCCAGATATAGCACATAAAAAGTAGGGCAACACTGATTTATCGGTGCATAAATGTATAGTGGAGGATTTTCTCTAATTTTTTAAAAGACCTGCACTCTACACTTAAAAAAAAAGCACATGTACAACCCTGTACCCACTGCTGATAGGGAACGCTTATTAAAGGTGTGATAGAGAACGCATGAGCCCTTTTCTCTCCTCATGCATGATCTGTTTAAAAGTAGCTTTTTGCATCACTCATACAAGCTTACTTTCCAAAAGAAGAATTGCAATTTTTCCACTATGTCAGACTCTCACCTGGTAAGTGAAAATGGAAACATATCACCAGAATGATTGAGCACTTATTTTGATGATCCAGCCGGAAAAAGAATGTCCTCCCCTATACCTTTAATTTTGGGAGTTCAGCGATCGGCCGATTCTAAGTTTTTAACGATCAATCTAATCCATCTCTGCAAAGCTTTAAAATCAGTTAGTTGCAATGCTCCAAACTGTTCATTTATAATTCAGAGTATTATCTGTGCAGTTAATTGTTCCTTTTATTCGAATAAAATGATACTGAAGAATTCATTGTTTATTGTGAACATAACTGCAATTTGTTAGGATACAAATTCAATCAGAATCTGTTGTCATGTCTCCTGGTTATTTAATACATATAAGTTATAAAATGTTATTTAAAGAGTTTGTCTTGAGGGATGCCTTTTCAGGAAAAAGAACCAGAAAGATAGAGCATCAGGTGTATGCACACAGAGTCTATCTTTAACAAATTGGTGCATCCCTAAAGCCATGATCTTGTGAAGCTAAATGAAGCTAAAAGTGGAAAACCCCTATACTTGAATCATTTTTGAAATAAAACTTTAAAGGTAAAAAGATTAAATAGAACCAAGAGATCAATTAATGACAGTTTCTGTGCCAGCTCTTATAACCATAAGAAATGCCTACAGAGCTGTGCTTACAGTACAAGGGCCATGACAGGGGATAGGAGCAGTTCTACAGGGGCACTGGCCCCTGCAGGCCCCCATCTGGAACCCCCTGTGAATTCACAGACCAGCCGTATACTTATTAGAGGCATTTGATAACATATTTATAGATGATTAGCAGAGTAAATTGGGCTATAAATTTTTTGTTTTGTGTGTCCTTCGTCATATTGATCTATCTCAAACTCCCAGTAAAACATCAAATTTTTTGGTTGTAACATGATCAAATGAGGAAAAATTCAGTTGTAAGAATATTTTTGCAAGTTTTAATCTATGCCGTGCTCA